AATAATTTTATAGGTCACAGATTATTTTATTGGTCACGGATCAAAAAATTACAGGTCACAGATTAATTTTTAGTCACAAATTATCAAATTTTAAGGTCACGGATAGTCCATTATGCGGTCACAGCTAATCTAATCTATGACCACCGTCAACAGTTGTGCCACCAGTTCAACTCTGTCTTTAACAGCATCACCACCACTGTTCACCGCCACCACTACACCAACAGCACCCACGCAACCACAAGATCCACCACCATCACCCACCTCCACCGCAGTTAGAAACCACCACGACCACAGCCAGATATGCAAAAAAAATAGATACAAAACTGCCAACACCCCCACAAACACCATCACAACCACGGCGTGGCCACCCCTCCCACGCAGATCACGCCCACCTCCACACAGAGCACACAAATCACACCCATTCCCACCAAAGCTAGTGTTCCATTGTTTTTCACACTACAGAACACAGTTAATGACAAAAATTAGTATAATTAAAGCGAGACTCAGCATTTGCGGATGGAATCAGAAGAATTTGAATGAAAATGATAAATCTTTTCAACTGATCTGGAATTCTATGCCGCTAAAAATGGTAAAACAACAAAATAGTTTTAGATTTTGGTAAATCTAGGAACTTTTCTTCCCTTTTATGCTAATACTGAAAAAAATTAAAACAAATGAAGAAGACGAACTGCAGTGATTAAGGTGGGAAGTGATTTTTAGAGGGTTTCAATTCCAAAATCGATTCGAAAGTAGGGAAATCGCAATTGTTGACGGATTGCGGCATCTCCGTTTGGAGGGGAAGAAGATGGACTACAGCATCTCCGTTCTCAACGGCGTCTGCCTTCGTCGTCGGTTGTCGGAGATGAATGGGTCATCGGTGAGGGGAACGAGAGAAGACAGAGACGGCATAAGAGAAATAGGTATGGTTAGAGAGAAATGAATTTAGGGTTTGTTTTTAAATGAAATTAATTGGGATGAAAATTTTATAATTAATATTTAATTATATAATTATAATCTGTATCTAATTAAAAATATCTGAATATTGAAAAATAAAACTTGAAAGCTGATTATGGAAAATAGATATTGAAAAGTAGGGAATTGGGTAATTTGTAATGGATTTGGCAATCTGCACCACATGTCCACGATCTGCACACATCCTTTAAGAATGGATATGCACACGTCCACCATCTTACACCACACCACACCGGCGGGCGACGCACTTCTGTGGGCAACGCGATCTGTGGCTAAATCCACGTCTGATTGCCAAAAAAAACCAGTTATTGACGCAGTGGCTCCTCCGACGGGCGACACATTTCTCCTCCGGTAGGCATGCTGGCGACGCAGTGGAAATCTCAGTTGTTGACGGACTGCAGCATCTCCGTTTGGAAGGGAAGAAGACGGACTGCAGCATCTCCGTTCTCAACGATGTCTGCCTTCGTCATCGGTCGCCGTAGATGAATGGGTCACCAGTTGTCGGAGATGAATGGGTCGCCGGTGAGGGGAACAAAAGAAGACAAAGACGGTGGGAGAGATATGTACAGTAAGGGAGAAGTGAATTTACGGTTTGTTTTTAAATGAAATTGATTAGGATGAAAATTTTATAATTAATATTTAATTATATAATTATAATCTGTATCTAATTAAAAATATCTGATTTTTGAACATTAAAAGATAAAATCTGATTTTAGAATTTGAATCTTCAAAAGTAGAGAAGTGTGTAATTTCTACTTCATTATAATACAGGAAATCACATAGTGGAGTTAACAGTCGAATTGTAGCACCATTTCTTACTTTTTGAACTTTGTTAGAGCTCCATTATAATTAGTTTTGGTGAAAACACGTATTTTATAATGAATAATGTTAAGTGTACATTGTGGAATTGACATCATTGTGCACATCTCATTGGAGTTAAAAAAGTTGTAGGCGGGAAAATGTATGTTTATTTTAAGTTGTCCAATAGCATGTTGACACGTGGCACAATGTAAAAAATGATGTACATGTAACATGATTGATTTTATAATAGTAATTTTTTTAAAGAATGTGCGATTAAAAAAGAAAAAAAAGTTTTGAGTTAAAGTGTAATATTATTTTATTGAAAAATGTTTTGTTGAAAATAAGAGGAAAAAATGTATGCTTGTGAAGCTTTCGATGACAAAAAAAAAACAAAAGTAGATTTAATTCTAGTTAGGATTCGAAATTGCTCTGAAAATAACAATTGAAACAATGAAAAGGACTCCAAATAGGAGAATACAAAGTATCCAAAAAGCCTTAAGTTACAATAATATCTGGCTGCAGATTAAAAATGTATCTGAAAATCAAAACACGGGGGCAAAATTGGAGTCATCTTTTAGGGTAAAGAACAAGCAAGCTGATACACAGAGCACGTGTTGAACAAAGTTGATGAAGAACGAAAATAAAATCAGCAACAAAAAATCTCCAAATGGAAGATTTGAACAAGATTATGAATCGCCATCCTCAAACGATATTTGTCGCTATTGGGGTACGTGCTTGAAGGCTTCAATGTCAAATAGTTTGCAGGAGCAAACAAACCTTAATCTAAGTATGAATCAAGCAATCAAAACTTGGAAAATGATCTTTGAAGAACAATATAAAAATTTGGGTTTGATTTTTTATTTTGGATGTTAATGAATAAATTTGATGTTTCTGATATGTTTTCAATCATGAAAATCACTCATATATATAGAATTATAATCACCATGCACGAAAAGGTGCAAAAACCAAGGCAAAATAGTGTAAAACCCTTCAAAACTATACCAAAATAAAAAACTCCAACGGGCGAATATTTTTTACTGAGAGGCCGGCGCCCGCCCAGTTCAACAAAATGGCTGTAATTGCAACATAAGGCAGGCGGCCACTCGGCATTAGGCTGTCCATGCCATTTTTCGGCCATCACTATTTTTTGTTCTCGTTTTGTGTTTGCTTCTATTTCTCGTGATTTAACCATTTTGATCACTTCTAAAATCACTTTTCATTATTAATTTGAGCAATATCCAACATCACGTTCATCACCATTCAGAAATTGTATCTTGATGTATGCCAGATTTATAAACTAGAAATCACTCTCACATCTAAAGATGGTTAAGAATTTCTTAGAAGGAAATGCAGATTTCAACGTAAAAAGATCGCAATACGTAGTGTATGGATTTTAATCAAATCTATACATCACATCCCCTGTTTTCAATCTATGCGTTGTCCTATAATACTATATGCATAATCGAAAAAATTTACTCTGATTGAAATGGCTTTCTTCAGAAGCCGAGTCTTGCAACGGGATAAAGAGAATCTGCTCAACTTGCGATAATGTTTCGACATTATTTGTAGTTGAGGGTTGTTGGAGGGCGCTGTAAGGTATTGCATGAAAATGTAGTTGGGACGTCTAATGACTCGAATCCTGATGATGCTGCAGAAGACAATAGCGGAACTGGGGTGACGACACCATGGCTTTGCATTTTCCATGGCCAATTTGAGAATACGGGCAAAGCATTGGCTTCCGTATTCATTCCTGCAGCTCTTTCCTGCTCAGAAAGCAGAATTGTTATGGTTTACTATCAAAGTAGAATCATACATCTTTTATGTTTTAACATGACTTCTCTCATTTTTGCCTCATTTGAGGTGGGTGGGTTGGGGGGGGGGGGTTCAAACGGCATGTGGGAAGCGCCATTTCCTTCCGCCATCTTTCTTTCTCGCTTCTGATGAAATGCGTTGTGCAAACATTATCGAACTAAGTTCATTTTCCCATATCTTAATGAAAATCACCCTATGAAGATTCACGATGAAAATGGAAAAAGACTAAACACCCAAAATAGAGAATCAAAGTGTCTGCAAAAAGAAAGAGAAATGAGCCCTGACTATACTATAAAGGAGTTTTCAGCGAGGGTGTGAGGCTGAGATTCAGTACTATTACTTTAGGATCCATCAAATTGAAGGCTTTTTCTTCTTTATTCTTTCATAAACCAACATAAAAAAGGTTTCAGCTTGTTTCGAGTTCAGTATCCCTAAAAACCAACATATATAAACATGAAAGGAACACTACAAAACTAAAGCAACGTTTAAAAGGCAACGCAATAACACCAAATAAAAAACCAAGGCATACTGAGGACAAAAAAGAATATAACTAAATTCAACTCATTTCGCAACTTTTTATTGTGTAGACACTTTAGACGATGTTTCACAACTTATTAAGATGTTAGATTACTTTGGAGGAGAATTTTTTAGTTTCTACCAATGAAGTACAAAATTTTACACACTGCAAGCATTAGGACAAGTCTTCTCGTCATGTGGAGTGAGAAATGTATTCTTCAGCCATAAAAGTGTATTTCCAGAGAAATGTGCAGGCAAAGCTTGATTGTCTAAACTGAAGTAGAAAATCCTTCATCAAAATTGAAATTTAAAAATTTGTAGATGCTTGTTTTTATTGTCTTGATTCATTTTATTTTTTTCTTTCAGCAGAGGTGATACTTCAGTCTGAATAAATTGTCTATAGTTTAACAGGGTTCAAGTGGAACTGTATTCTTTATGTAAAGAAAAGATTAATGTAGAAATTAATAAATAATTACCTTATCGTTTAGTGGAAAAGTGGAATAGACCCCAGTCCACATGGGTGCATACTTGGGCGCCGTCACCAGACCATGTGCAGCAGAGGAGCTCTCTTCCTGTAAAATTAAAGGACCTGAGCATATTAACCATCCGAGTATATGGAGTACTACTAAAATCTTTATCTGTATATTAGCCATCGAAACTGATGCATGTGTTCAATAAACCATAGACGTATGGAACTTCTCAAGTTTCTGACCTTGGAGATGAAAACAAATGGCAAGCAAATTCAGTAGTGAAAATGGGAGTATTCTTATGCGATTCAATTATGAGATAGAAGTACCTTTATTCTTTTTCCATCAGGCAGTTTGCGTGAACCATAATGGAAGTGCATATTTCTGGTATTGCAGTACCCTTGTAGACCATCGGATGGGCAAGAAATTCCAAGGTTGAGATCAAGACTGTTGCCACTACCTGCATCCAAAGACAACAAATCCAATTCTCCCAAGTTAGCTACTGATGGTAATTTAGAAACATGCAAAACAAATTACCGAAGTAAGCAAGAATGAAAATAGATTATTAGTGCACCTATGCCTCCAGCTCCCGCAGCCATATTTATCTCCTTCTCGTAGATTCCAGGCTCAAAGTTGGTGACAGCTTCTAGCCCACTGGATTTTATAGCAGTCTTGTCGCAAGACCTGGATCAGAAAATAAAGAGACATTTGTTGGACGAATCCCAAAAAAAAAATATTTGGTTTGAGTGAGAGAAGAATCAAATTATGATCACAAGGACCTTGCAGCTTCTACTTCCCTGTCGAATAAACCAAGATACATATACCTGCTACCAAGCATTAATCTTATAGGTAAAGGGAGATGCTACGCTTACATAAGGATCGATGTACACCCGAGTTTACACCCCAGGCCGACGCACAATAAATTATGATTTATTGTGCGTGGGCCCCCTCCATGTGAGGGGGGTGTAAATCCGGGTGTACAAGTATCATTTTCCATAGGTAAAATGGAGTCCCTGCACATTTTTCTGTCAATGAAACAGCTGCCTTAATCTTGTGGTCCAGAACCACAAAACATTGAGTAATAAAATTACCAAATAACATAGTAGGTTTCATATCACCAGTTACTATGAATAAATTTACCGCTACTTATTTATAGCTATTATAAGATCCAAGAAATTTTGAATGTTTTTCATACTTATTCCCAGGGTATTGAGCCATCCGAGCCTCAAATTGACCACATTTGTGCAGGCTCACTCCTCTGTATTTTGAACTTCCTCGAGTGAATCCTGTGCTTCGGCGACGAAGAATTTGAATAAATTCCTCTTTCTTCATGTTCTTCATCTGCAAATCAACTAATGAAGATTAATATGGAGAAAAAAAAAAGAGCGGGTACCAAATGGGTATCTACAACCTCCCACCTGTTCCATGTCCTCTTCATAATCACTGATATTGAAATTGATATCAGCATCAATTCCTCGAAACTTGATAGCAGCCCGATCATATGCTCTGAATACAAGGAGTTACAATCAAACAAAATTATAAGAACACTAACATAAACAACGCTAACTTTAAAAATATAGATTTCACTGAAATCTGCTTGATGTTAAAATTCTTACCTAGCTGCAGCATGAGCTGTGTCAAATCCACCTGAAACAACAAACCAAATGAACTATTAGAAGACACCTCACCAATCCAAGAATATCACAGAACCAAATCTGTCTTCAATGAACTTCAAATTTAGCGACACCATAAAGAACCAAGGGATTATTTAAATTATAGGAAAAGTTGTTCGAGTTATATACCTAAATAGACTTGTTTACCGCAATCCCTGCACACAAACACAAAACGCAATTAAGATCACGATGGAAGAGGACCACTAAATTTAGTAGTATAAACACGTGTATCATTCTATAGGCACATCCATTGCTTATGTATTCATACCTGTATGCAAAAGTCCAAGTACAAATATTCAGAGGCACACTTACATTCGACATTCTAAAAACTGAGGTGTCAGGAGAACAATTGTATAAGTTTTGAAAGTTCATTTTGCACCTTAAGGTGTTATATAAACGATATCTACTCCATTTCAAGTATCATAGTCCTTTGTTGAAAAGAAGGATCTTATCAACTTAGCAGCCAAGAAAAAAATAAAAACAAAACCAAACACAATGCATGTCAAATGCAAACCAAGGCATCATCCTCCAATACAAAAACAAAGTCATGGAATTGTAAGTTTTGGTTAATGATCTTAACCTGGATGATTCTATCCCTTGAAAATGTACTGTATGAAAATGTGAGATCTAGTTAACTCAACGAACATATATACAAACGGATTAATTTTGCACTAATAGGGTTAATAATTGAACAACTTTATGTATACAAGAACATTTGCACCAAATTGATAAACCAAACAAAGAAAGAATATTATGTACTTGCAATTGCAAGTATGTAATTTGTTCTAAAATGGAAATCATATCCGACAAAGGTATAAATACTGAAGAGCAAGTACAAAACCACCTTAATGCTATTACTCTTTTGTCAAAAACAGATAAAATAATTGCAATTCACAAGATAAATCACACACACAGATAGAGACATGATATGAATACATACATACATGGGGTGGGGGTGGGGTTGTGTGAACTTGTGTGTTTATGTATCTATATATGCATACAAACCAGATATGAGATTCCCATCTTCCAGTTCTCCGGTAGAAGGTGACTCCCCGATACTGGGAGCTCCGAGACCTGGGTCCACGCCTACTCTTCTTCACAGCCTGTGACGGCTGATGCGGAGCCTTGTAAATTCCCAATTCTCCTGGAACCTCCGGCACCGATAAATTCAACCAAAATTTAGCCCTAGACGCCGGCGGCGGAGAACCTAAATCACAAGTGCTCGTCGGAAAAAGCTGTAACTCATTACCGCTATTATTGTTGTTATTATTATTATCATCATCATTACTTTGATCATCAGAAATTTCTATTATATTTGTTTTCAGGATGGAGAAATTGAGAGTTGAGAGCGAGTTCCTGTGGGTGGAGCTGTAGGTGTCTTGTTCGTCGGCAGCGGCATTATTGTTGGTGGCAGAGGTGGTGGTGGAAGTTATGGAATCACCATCTGCGACGGTGATGATCGGAGTAATTTCCATTTTCCGGTGGTAATCAGTTTCATCGTCCCACGTGCTAGAGTCAACTGATGCTGCTGCCTCAATATTCAGATCCAGCATCTCCTCCCTCTCTATATATATATGTTCATATATCTACTTCTGACTGAATTTTTTACATTAAACGAGAGAACGCAGTCATGAAAGTAGAGAGAGAAATGGTGAAGGATCACGATATATACACAGACGCGGGTGTGTATATATATTATATGTAACAAACCCACACAGAGTAACAGAAGAAGAGTGAGAAAGAAGCTTAGAGGTGAAGCATTTGGATGGAGTCGGAAGATGGAAAAAGAGTTGAGGACAAATGTACAGAGAGAGAACAGTAATACAAATATGAAGAGTAATGATAATTCTCACATAATTTTTATAGGATTTCACCTGTCACGGATTTATTTTGCGGTCAAGTGTTCTAAAAAGCGTAAAGCGTGACTGGACGTGGAGGCAAATATTCAAGCTTTACAAGCCTAGGCGAAACTTTGGCGTAAAAATAAGTTTTTTTATTTGTAATTTTATTTTAATTTTTTAATCATTGTAAAAAAATTCAATAATTCAAATAATACATACTAAACATATAAAATTATAAAATATTGTATTTACTTAATAATTCATACATAAAGATAAGTTTCAAAATCATAATTACATAATGCAAATAACGTGTAGCTTAAATCTTATATAATTTAACTATTTATCAGACTTCAATTCAATATATTCTTCTTCGTCTAATTCGTCATCCATATCGTTCGATACAAAATCATCATTCCCGGTCTCTCTTATTTCATTTTTATCATTTCTTATACATACCTGATACGCAAATCAGTGCGGTGTGCGGAGAAATTAAGAGGTTTTGGTTGTTCTTCTGTCTTTTTTTTCCTGTTCTTCCGTCTTCTCAGTTCTCTCGAGTCTGGAGTTTTTGAAATTTGAAGAGATAGTGGGCTACTAAATCTGGGCAGTGGGTTTTATTATTATTTTTTTAAAAAAAGAAAAAATTGGACCCTCTTAAAATCTGGATCTAGGCGAGCATTAACCGTTTAGTATTGTCGTTGATCGCTTAATTCCGGCCTAGGCTCAAGGCGAAAGCGCGCCTAAGCTTCGCCTAGGGGAGCATTAAGCGGTCAACATTGTCATTGGCCGCTTAATTCCCGCTTAGGTTCAAGGCGCGTTTTCATCACGCTTCCCGTCTAGGCGTACTTTTTAGAACACTGTTAGCGAGTGACGATAAAAAAATTGTCTACAAATCAGTTACTATCACAGCAACACCTGTAGGGATTATGTGAAAGAATTCCCGGACTTAATGAATTTTCCAAAAAAAAAAAAAGTTTGAATGTGAACTGTGTGAAAGAGAGAGAACATATGTGGTTGTTATGCAACATTCACCTTCAACCTCAACTTGCATAGTTCCCCATACCAACATTACTTCCATTTGTTTAAGTTTGAAATTTTAAATTAAATATTATTATGTTAAATTGTCTCATCAAGTATGATGATGGCCATCCCCACTTCAAATAAATAGTGATTTGTCTAAAATGGACTTGACATGGATTTCATCAAGTCTAGACACTTTCATCTAGATGACAATTGAACATAAATTAATTTTATGCAAAAATGAAATAATATCAGAGGGTATTTAATGGGGATTAAAATTAAATTTTTAGTGGATTGTGATAGAAATTTTTGAAATGTGTGGTTGAAAAGATGTGGTACTCATGAAAGATGTGAAAATATTAATTGTTTGACTTTGATTTAGATTAAAATCAGATTTTAATCCGACCCAAACATGCCCTCAATTTATTGTCTTAATTTTTTACTCTATATTACTCTAGTTGCTCGTTGTAATGATTAGTTTCTCGAGTTGTTTCATTTGGATCGAAAAATTGAGTCAGAGAACAATCGAACCATTGATCAAGGTAGCCAACCGAGTCTAATGCATCCTTAGTACATGTACCCTATAAAGGGACCAAAGTGCAAAAATATCAAAATTATGAGTGCTTGTGGATATATTTGTTTTAATTATGCAATAATAGACCCAAGTAACTTGCGAAAGAAAATTTCCAAGAAAAGAAAGAGAACTAGGCAGGTAATAGGTGGCAGTTTCTTATAGGCTAGTAACGTAGAAAACAAAATCATACTATAATCTAGACTATTATATGAAGGACCACACTGTCTATTATTTCATGGCTCTGTAAAATTTTGTGGTCCCTAGCCAGAGTTTAGCGATGAATATCGTACCGTTCACGCTGTGTTATACTCTTTTGGAGTGTTTGGTATACAATATTGAGTTGGAGGATAGACAAGAGATAGGGTTAGAAAATATGGCTACTAGGAGTCTAAGAGTAAAATCACGAATCACCCCCACAATTTATTTTTTATCATCAAGTCTAGACACTTTCATCTTAGATGACAATTGAACATAAATTAATTTTATGCAAAAATGAAATAATTTCAGAGGGTATTTAGTGGGGATTAAAATTAAATTTTTAGTGGATTGTGATACAAGTTTTTGAAATGTATGGTTGAAAAGATGTGGGACTCATGAAAGATGTGAAAAATTGATTGTTTGACTTTGACTTAGATTAAAATCAGATTTTAATCCGGCCAAAACATGCCCTCAATTTATTGTCTTAATTTTTGACTTTATATTACTCTAGTTGCTCGTTGTAATGATTAGTTTCTCGAGTTGTTTCATTTGGATCGAAAAATTGAACAATCGAGCCATTGATCAAGGTAGCCAACCGAGTCTAATGCATCCTTAGTACATGTACCCTATAAAGGGACCAAAGTGCAAAAATATCAAAATTATGAGTGCTTGTGGGATATATTTGTTTTAATTATGCAATAATAGACCCAAGTAACTTGCGAAAGAAAATTTCCAAGAAAAGAACTAGGCAGGTAATACGTGGCAGTTTCTTATAGGCTAGTAACGTAGAAAACAAAATCAAACTATAATCTAGACTATTATATGAAGGACCACACTGTCTATTATTTCATGGCTCTGTAAAATTTTGTGGTCCCTAGCCAGAGTTTAGCGATGAAAATCGTACCGTTCACGCTGAGTTATACTCTTTTGGAGTGTTTGGTATACAATATTGAGTTGGAGGATAGACAAGAGATAGGGTTAGAAAATATGGCTACTAGGAGTCTAAGAGTAAAATCACGAATCACCCCCACAATTTATTTTTTTTAACGAAGTTGACATTTTAAAATAAAATTTTATATTCAATATGAGTTTGAACATACTAGTTGAAAATTTATGTTCTTATGTGAATATAACACATCTCTACTCAATGATGGAGTCAGACATTTTTCATCGTGAAACCAAAAATTAAGATACAAAGTTTTTTTTAAACAGTATAACACTAATAAAAATAAGTCAATACATTTCTACAATTATCCTATAGATTTTCATACTTTGACAATAATGAACTACATTTCTACAAGCAGGTTGGCTCGCTAGTTTTTTGAAGAGCGGCTCGTGGTTTTTTTTTTTTAAGAACATGTATAGTTAAAAGATAATAATAATAATAAACCCGAGCTCGTGCGTATACGAGCCGAGCCATCTCAGTTTGACCCATTGTCACCGCTAATCTAACTTGATGTTGGTGCAATTGAACTATGTTGAGCTGTGAAACTTTCGATCAAAAAAAGTCAACAAATTATTGTTGACTCAATACTCACCATCCTTCGTGAAAACACGATTTTATGTATAATAAATCATTCGATTAAGCTCAGATCATGAATCAAGAAGCACAATAAAAAAAAATAAAAAAAATAACCCAAACTCCTAATCAAGTCCATGTTCTTATCTAAATAAAAAGCAATTTACCTATTCCACGCCAAAAAATAATTAATTAAAAAGTCAAGGAAAAATTCATAACAGATTCTCGAATATCTTGAGAAATAGAGCGAATAATATCATACAATTTATAATACCCTACATCAAGAAAATGCTCAATTCGGACAAAAAAGATTTCATTTTCTATCAATCTAATTTCAAAAAATATTAAAGTATTGTTGTAGTGGGGTTTTAAAATCTATTGGTAATTTTAACAAGAAAATTTAATTTTAATTGCAATCAAGAAAGACTAATTTTTACGATTTAGAGGAAGTGTGAGGAGAAAGGGCAATTGGAATTGGGAAAAATTAAAATTTTGTGGGGGTCTCTTGACACCGCATGACCAAAAGTGATTCTACCTGTGTCTCTACTATGAGAGTGTTTAGTGGAGATTAATAGTATATTTATATATAT